GCCCCGCCCCTTGCCACCGCCCAGCGTCTGCGCATGCCTCAAGGCTCACGGGCGTCACCTGCCTGCGCGGTTGCCGGAGCAACGGTACGCGTGGGCTAGGGGAGGTGAACCTCTGGGAGGTGACTGTCCGCGGCCCCCCTCCCCCACATGAATAACCGAGAAGGCCTTCACCCGTGAATCCTTGAAACTGGACGAGAAAGAGCTTTCCCAGGATACCCCTTCCTTTGCTAGGGCTTCACACATACCTCTCTGCCCGCTGCTGGCGGGGTTGCTGTCAAAACGTGGATCATAGCTCTCAGATACGCACGTCAAATCGCACACAATTCCCTTACACCCCAAAGTGTAAATGAGCGAGAGTGGTGTCTGTTCCGATAGTGATGGGTGGAGAACTGACTGATAGAAAAGGAGCTAAAACCACGAAGAAGGAGAAGGAAGGGCAAAGGAAAGAGGTAGAGGAGAGGGCTGAAGTTGCACAACTGAAAATTAATCATTCATTTTTGCAAGTCCTAAGGGGACCAAGCAGTTATGTCAACTCTACTAATCTGCTCTCAAAGCATGGGCTCAGGATCTGACATCGGTATCCAAGATTCCTGCCCTATCACCTCAACACCAGTTTTGTTACTTATAGGAGGGAGGTCCAGCAAGTATTTTAGACCAGGGTTGATTCACGCAAAAACTTCTACATGAATTATTCATACTAGTTTAAAAGTAAGAATAACCTAGATGTTCATCAAGGTTATTCTGATTAGTGGCTGAGTAAAATGCTATCTAGTCCTACAATGGAATAGCACTCCAACATAAAAAGCAACAAAGCATTGATACATAGTACAAAATATACTGAGTAAAAGAAACTAGTCACAATAGATCAAATACTGTACAATAAATGTCCAGAATAGGCAAATCCCTAAAGACGGGAAGTAGAGTGGTAGGTTGGGCTGCAGGATTTGAGGGAAAACGAGAAGCAACTGAGAAGTTGTTTTGGGGGTTTTTTGGTGTATGATGAATTATGTTCTAAAAGTGATTGTGGGGCTGGGGATTTAGCTCAGTGATTTTGCTGCCTGCCTCACAAGTGCAAGGACTTGAGTTTGATCCCCAGTACCAAAATAACAACAATAATAATAAAACAAATAAATGTGATTGTGGTGAAGGTTGCACAATTCTGTGATAATATTAAAAGCCACTGACTTGTACACTTTAAGTAGTGAATTATTTGGTATATGAATTATATCTTGATAAAGCTGTAATTTTTCAAGAAAAATCAAATGAGATAACAAACCTCAAAAAGCCTCTGGCTACAGTGCCTCCCTAAGATAAAGGGCTTGGTATACAAGAGATGATCAAAATATACAGTACTGTAAATGTTTACATTTTTAAAAAGTTACTACAGTTAAAGACGATGCCATGAATCCCCCTCACTTCGAACACACACATTCTCGCCACTTTCTGAAGAAGTTCTGGAGGTCCTCTTTCCTAAATGTCTTTCTGAGGTGTGATTTAAAATATAATAAATGCTGCTGCCAAGCTCCATCCAATGGAAAGGCACAAAAACATCAGTCTGTCCTCATCAGATCTGGCACCGTCTGACTTCTGGCTATTCCCAAAAGTCAAAATGATCATAAAAGAAACATTTTTAATCAATTCAGGACATCAAGACAGCCAGGACAGCCCAACTGAAGATACTCATGAAAGAGAATTTCAGAGCCACTTCAGAAAGTGGCCAGAATGACGGGATAAGTGTGTTCAAAACACTACCCCCTGGAGTATTTTGAGTGCCTTTTAACGTAATACATTCTTTTAAATATAATTCACCATACTTTTTCATCACACCTTATAGCTTTGGTTTTTTATTTTGTTGTTGCTGCTTCTGTTGTTTTCCTTCATTCAACTGGCAAACTCTTGTAACCAATCTGACCCAAGGAAATTTAAAGAAATATCCACCAAGATATTTTTCTTTGGAAAATTTGAATCACATGAACAAGCCCAAGCTGCTCTGAGGCACTGGAAGTGAGCCACTGGAATTACAAAGCGCATCTGAGGAAAATGGGCAAGATCTGCAGGCACAGGGGAGGCAAAAGCTCTCTCGAAAGTCACCTTAGACCCAAAGGTAGCCCCGAAACATCCAGCCAGGCTTTCACAATAAGCAAAGGCAGAGCCCCATTGTACCTGCTATGTCTCAGCTGCCTTCAGGGAAAGAGCTCACCCATGATTTGAGTATTACTGAAGCCACTGCCAGTCCGCAGCCCTGTCAACCTCTCTTAAATCAGAGATGCAGATCTCTGACATGAACCCCACACCACCCAGAAAATCCCCTTCCTACCTGCAAGACCCAGAACAAGAACTGAGTGCCTAGCTTCTCCTCCCAGCACACGTTAAAACTATGAGAACAAACTGCCTGTGTGGGGCTTCAGTAAGAACAAGGAACAGAAACCCCTTCAGGGAAATCTGTCCTGTGCCAAGATGTCTCACCGGGCAAGATGGGCTCAGGTGACCCAGGGGCAACATGGACTGTGGCCAGCACTGTTCAGCCTTTGAGCCAGAACACGGAACAGCCAACTCTGAAGCAAAGCTCGGGGCCATTTGGGAACAAGCCAAACTTTCCCAGCTTTCCCAATCTGTCCCCAACTCATAAACTGTATCTACTAATAAGAAAAAAGTCTCAAAAATATATATATATATTTTTTAGAGACAGGGCCTCACTATGTTTTCCAGGCTGGCCTTGAATTTACCATGTAGCCCAGCCTGAACTCAAACTCATAGTGATCCTCTGCCTCAGCCTCCTGAGTGCTACCATCACATCTGGCCAAAATATACTCTTCGGTGAAAAGAATAAAGTTCAAGATGATGTATATAATGTACCCATTTGTTTTGTTTGGGGAGTTTCTGTTTGTTTTTCATTTTTTGAGACAGGGTCTCCCTGTCATTCAGACTGGCCTTGAACTCACTGTATAGCCCAGTCGCTCAGACTGACCTCAAATTCTCAGTGATCCCCCTGATTCAGCTTCTGAGTGCTGAGATTATAAACATGCACCAAGTTTCCATTTGCATTTTTTAAAAAAAATACATAATCAACACAAGTTGTCATTTTCAGAGCCAATCTCTGGACAGAGGCACAGCAAGCTGATAAGAGCAGTTGTCCCTGGGAGGGACACTAAAGACTTGGGTACGGAGTGGGAAGCAGACCTGATCCTCACTGTCCTCTTCGGCACAGTTTGGAGTTTTGTGCTTTACGCTTGGGTTATCTAATTAAAATGAATAAATACTAAGTTTTTTAAAGAAAATATTTTTTCCCAGAAAACTTATAACTATCCAAGCCTCGCAACTCAAGGCACATGAAAAACCCAGGTGGCCACTCTGTCCCCAAGGACAGGGAGGACCAGGTGCTTGCCGACCTCTGCCTTGGGGTTCACCCCAGGGAGAAAGTCTGGCCTGGGTAGGTGCCACTCCCGCTGCAGTAGCAGCTCCCCCTGGAAGGAGTCACTTGTGACACCTGGGGCCTGTAGTCTTGCAACAGGGTGGCCCTCCAGCACTTGAGGTTTGGGGCTGTAGCACTGTTTTGCTTGGAGGAAGGACAAAACCTCAGCACACCTCTCTCCGTGGCATTTGCATTCTAGCATCTGGCATGGTGAGAGGATGGGGCACAGAGGGACAAGGGGGATCCTCAAGGGACAGAACAGAAATGATGACAGAAGTTGGCTATGTCTGTCCAACTGCCCACCCTGGCCTGGTGCTGGGTGGATGGATGGATGGATGGATAGATGGGAAGATGGGTGGATAGATAAATAGGTAGGTGCGTAGATGGATAGATGGATGGATGGATGGGAGGCTGACTGGATGGATGGATGGGTGGATAAATAGGTGGATGGATGGATGGATGGGAGGATGGGTGGATAGATAAATAGGTGGGTAGATGGATGGATGGATGGATGGATGGATAAATAGGTGGATGGATGGATGGATGGGTGGATGGATGTGTGGATAGATGGATGATGAATGGATAAGAGGGTGGGTGGATGGATGGATGGATAAGTGGGAGAATAGGAAAATGGATGAGTGATGAATGCATAAATGAATAACAAGCTGCAGCTGTCCATGAAGGCCACCAGGGTAGAGAGACACAGGGAAAAGACAGAGAGGGCACTTGCACCAGTTGGGGTCCTGCCAGGAAAGCAGAGACTCTGGGTAAGGGCAACAGAGCCCAGGTCCTTAATTAGAAGCAGAGTTAAGCTTTCACTCGACCTAAAGTGACCCCAAAGCCCTGGCAAATCTGGGACACAATGAGACACTTACCTATAGCAAGCATCCAAGAGCCATGAACTTCAGGGAACACCTCACCGTTCTCTTGCTTGTGGGATAGAGAGATTTGACAGACAAAAAGAAAATGATGATACAATTTAAAGGAAAAGGAAAAAAAAAAAGAACATGCCTCCTCACTTTCCCCACCCCTAGATCCTGGAGAAGTGGCCAGGTCAGGCCCCTCGGCCACATCATCATTCTCAAACGAAAATCCGGTGAAGGCTGTGAGCAGGCATTTTCCAAACGGCTACAGAATTCCTGTAGCTTCCAAAAATACCTCTCCATGCAACTCCTGCCAGCATGCAGGGACACATGCCCAGGCTGGACCCAGACGATTGGACTTCCTGAGCCTGGGGCTCTGTGGATCCCAGAGACAGGAAATGCCCGCTGCTTTTGGTAACCTGGCCAGGCAGCTGCTGGTGCAGGCGAAGCTTGAGCAGAGCACCCTGCGGTTTTGCTTCTCTTGAAGGTGCTGAGACTTCTAGGAGCAGGAGCATCTTCCAAACTCAGCGAGCCACATGAATCACCTGGGCAGCTGCTCAGCAGTGTCCAGAGGCACATGCTGCTGGGGGACAGGGGCGGGCGCAAGGAAGTAGCACAGGCAAGTTCTGTTGAGGCTGGCTGGTGTGTGCAGCTTCTTGTCCCATGTTCATTTGCCAATTTGCTCACTTTGGTCAAGTCAAGCTGTACACAGATGCACACTTTTCCATATGTTTCTGTTTATTTGATTGGTTACTTGGACAGGGTCTTGCTATGTAGTTACTGGCTTTAAGGATGCACCTGTTTGGTTGTTGTTGGTGGTGGTAGTGGTGTGTGGTTTATTTTTGGGTTTTCTGTTTGTTTTATGGTAATAGGGGTTGAACCCAGGGCCTCATGCATGCTAGGCCAGCATTCTATCATCACTGAGTTACAACTCCAGGCTTTTCAAATCTTTTCTTTTTTTTGAACCTGGATCTTGCTCAATTATCCACACTGACCTTAAACCCACAATCCTCCTGCCTCAGCCTCCTAAACATGGTATTTCAGGCATGTACCACCACACCCTGAGGCACCTGATTTCTTTAAGCAGTAAGACTGGGAGAACAAGAGGGTCGGGAACAACATGTGCCATA